GCTTTGCCCCCTCTCCCCCGTCCCCCTGGTTTGCAGACCAGGGGGACGGGGGGACGGGGCAAAGCAGAGCCAAGCCTCGGAGCGCGTGGGCAGCGGACAGCCCTGTCCGCTGCCCACGTGTTCCGCCGCTTTGCTTCCTCTCCCTGGTCTGCTGGAGACCAGGGAGAGGAACGGCCCCGTTCGTAACTGCGGATCCGACATAAGTCGGATCCGCGTAACTCGGGGACTGCCTGTACATGCATCAAATGTCTCCAACAGCTGGTGAGGGGATAGTTGATGGGAAGGGCTCTGCGTTACTGTACGGAATTTTTTCCCACTTGTCTGGCTGCTGATTCTTGCCCCTGTGCTCAGGGACTAACTGGTCACCATATTTAGGCTGAGGAAGAAATTTTCTGTCAGATTAGCAGAGACCCTGGGGTTTTCACCTTCCTTTGCAGTGTGGGTCACTTGTAGGTTTATACTAGTGTAAATGGGGGATTCTCTGTAGCGTAAAGTCTTTACACAATTATTTGAAGATTTCAGTAACTCAGCCAGAGGGTAAGGATCTATTACAAGAGGGGTGGGTGAGGTACTCTGTCCTGCAATGTTTTAGGAGGTCAGGCTATGATTGTGATGGTTCCTTCTGAACTTAAGTCTATGGGTATGTCTACACTTGCTCCCTAGTTTGAACTAGGGATGCAAATGTAGCCGACCTCATTTTTTGAGGAGTAATGTTAGTTCGAACCAAGGGTTTTGATTCAAACTAACGTGTCCCGGAGTGCACTTCCTAGTTCAAATCAGCTGTTGAATGGAATAGCGTGCGGACGAGATTATGCTAATGAAGTGTGGGATATTTAAATCCCCGCTTCATTAGCAATTTCAGTCGGCTACATTTGCATCCCTAGTTTGAACTAGGGAGCAAGTATAGACGTACCTTATGAGTCTATTGGTAGGGCTTGTCTTCACTGCAGAGTTAACTCAGGCTCTTGCCTCAAGTTTTGCCCCTATCCTGACTCCTGCTCACCCACAAAACCACTCACCTGAGTGTGGTGGTGCTTTATACCTTCTTGTAGTATAAGCTAAAGCTCAAATGCTGCTTACAGATTGGTTGCTCATTTGCACATTTTGTATTGTGAATGCAGGTTAAACCACTCAAGTGCTGATAGTCCTCCTATGATTTCCCACAATTCTCCCTGCATAGCCAGGACAGACAAGTTCTCTCACCAATTTACCAGGGGTGCTGGAACAGTAAGAGGGTACCGAGAGCCATTGAACCAAACCATAAATCTTGTATATGATTGAAACGATTTCAAGCCATAGGAGGTAGCAATAGCCCTAGTTTTAGCACCTATGCAATTCACTGAGAAAGAATCAACAAATAGTTTAAATTACTGTGTACAAAGAAACATGGGCTATGTCCCCCCTCCCAAAACTTCTAATGATATACATTGATGAATAGAGTACCAGTATGAGTGAACTTGAATGGACACACTTGAGTATACTTTTGCAGGCTGCTTGCATTTGAGCTAAACTCACCTAGGTGCTTAGAGCTGAGTGCCCGTCGCCCAAGTTAACTCTGCCAGGAGGACACATTCTTAGAGATGAGTAACTTGTTTGAGCATGTTGGCATTTGTTGCATGATATTTCCCTAACCAAATCTAAACCCCTTTTTAAGAATTTGTGGTTTCTGCTGGACAAACATCAGACACCTCCTATGGTTGGGGAGGAAGCAATGATCAATTATGACAGCTTCTTGAAAGTGGGTGAGAAAGCTGGACCCAAGTGCAAGTAAGGATCCTTCATCTAAGTGTATGCTTACTAAAGCAAAACAGTTGTTTAAGATCATAATACTATATAACTAAAGTTATAATAGGACAATTAATTTAAGGGTGAGCAATTGGCATTATATAAGAAAATTATCATGGATTCTTCTCTTTGCACTCCTGCAACAAAGGTAATGTCAGGCATTGATAGAACCATTTTGATTGAGGTGTCCACAGTAGATCCTGGTTGATTTGGATTAAGAGGAAGTTCTAACAATCAGAAATACCATTATTGTCCAGGAAAGTTCAGAGCTCATGTGGCTATTAGGAGGTAATATCTAGACTAGCAGAAGGATTGATCCCGGTCAGGTCTTTCCAGTGTCAGAGGCCTCTCATACACTCAGCATAACAGCCCAGTTCATTTGTTTGGTTTGACAGGAGTAAACAAATAGTCAGGAACAGGTAGAAGTCAAACAATTTGTACAGTTTCTTCATACATCGTTCTTAAGAAGACTTGGACGCTGCTAAAAGGGCAAGTAGATTGAACTAGAATTGAAATATACAAAAGACCATTAAATCATCTGAAGGCATTGCCACTAAGTAGTTGATGATGTTCCTTAGTGAGCTTAAATCTAAGCTGTATTAATTAAATGGTGCTTAGTTTACGTTTTATAAATAGACACAAAGGGTTTGATGATATAATATGGGAAACTTCTCTTGAAATCAGTGAAGAAAATTGGACAGAGAGCAACTTGCAATATCAGTACATTACATTTTATATTTTGTTTTTGTTGTAGAAAACCAGATAGCTATGCATGGACGATCACTGAAGATAGGGTGGGGGGAGGCAAGCTCCGAGCCCCAGCCCTGACCTGAGGCCCTGCTCCCCATGGGAGGCAAGCTATCTCCCCGCCCCTCCTCACCACGGAGAGGGATAAGGGTGGCACGTGCGCATCCTCGCCTCCCCAGCCCCAGAACATTGGGAGGGTGGGTGTCAGGCATCCGCAACCTCCCTGGCCCCAGACCATGGGGAAGGCGGCTTTGGGTGTCCCCAGCCTCCCCGGCTCTGGAGCAGAGAGAAGGTGGGTGGTGCGCAGCCCCATCTTCCCCATACGAGAGCACGGGAAGGGAGGAGGGCGCACAGGTCCAGCATCCCCAGCCAGGATCACTGGGAGGATGGGTGCTGGGGGCAGCAACGCTCTGCCCCCAGAATGCCTACAGAACGTATTGTGCGGACAGGGCCAGGCTGCGTAAAGGATATGGGAAGCCCATGCAGCACTGGATCTGAAAATTCTAGTTCATTTTCTGTTCTCTTACGTCCATGAATGTCACTGCACATATCTCTTAAAATCTCTCACTTTGCTTGTGCAATTCATTCATGTTACACATTTTCTGAGGCCTGAGAGTAGCATGACTGAAATTAAGATCTGGCCAAGTGTCTTTTATTATTTGTATACACTTCCAGAAAAACAACATATCCAATCTTGTCATAAAATAATATTCAGAAGAATGTTAGTTGTTCTATATACTGTAGCTGGATCAACCAGTCAGCTTGGTGTCATTATACTAGGTTTGCACAGTCTGAGACTTAGTCTACGGTGAAAAGTCCACACTCCTGAGTGACATAATTAAGCTGACCTACCCCCGGTATAGACGGCACTAGGTTGATGGAAGAATTCATTCCATATGTAGTGTCTATACTGAAGCTATTGCATTTTAAGATCTTGGTGGAGACGAACCCTTAATGTTGTCATTCTTCTGTTTCATAGGCAGTTCTTTACAGCAAAAGTCTTTGCTAAATTACTGCACAATGATCCCTATGGAAGAATATCTATCATGCAGTTCTTCAATTATGTGATGAGAAAAGGTAAGTTGATATTTTTCTGTTATATTGAGTATTATTTTATTTTCAGGAGTATTTGAAGTTGTATTATATTCCTAGTGTATGGTCCTGTCCCTGCTGAAGTCTTAATAGAACATTTGCAGTTCTCTTCAACAGGCCCTTAGGGTATGTCTAAACTACATCCCTGTCAAAAGAGGGATGTAAATTAGGCAAATGGAAAGTGCAAATGAAGCCGGGATTTAAATATCCTGCGCTTCATTTACATAATTGCATCACAGCGGTCTTTCAAAAAAGGGTATTTCAAAAGTGAGAGTACAGGATCTTTCGAAAAAGGGTGGTGGTTGTTTTTTTTAAAGAACTGCATCTAGACGGCACTATCACTTTCAAAATACCCTTTTTCAAAAGACCGCTGTGATGCAATTATGTAAATGAAGCGCAGGATATTTAAATCCCGGCTTCATTTGCACTTTCCATTTGCCTAATTTACATCCCTCTTTTGACAGGGATGTAGTTTAGACATACTCTTAGATTGTTCTCCTGTTCCACCTTTTTTTCCTAAGTATTGTTTTATAGGAAAAAAAATTCAAACTCTACAAATATCAATGGCTTTGAAATAAAGCTCTTGAAAGTCATTGCCTTTCTGCTCACACAGCTGTTTCCTGCTAAGACGATTCCAAGTTATGGTTGTATATTTGACTCCACACAAGGAAAAATATTGATTGGTTAACTATTTAAGATGCCTTATTCTCTTCTTTAAGCAGCTGACGGCTTGTACATGTTACCACATATGTCAATGTAACTTACGTCGCTCGGGGGTATGAATAAGCCACTGATATAAGTATCAATGTGGATAGAGCTAGGTCAGCTTCTTTTGCCAATATAGCTCTACCTCTTGTGGAGATGGTTTTGTTATGAGAGCTCTCTCCTCTCAGCATAGAGCATCTCCACCTGACATGCTACAGTGGCACAACTGCATCAGTGCAGCTGTGCTCATGCAGTGCTTCTAGTGTAGACCAGCCTCAAGATCAGCAATAAGCTTTTTTGGTTTGGATTGTGTTTCTACCATTCCATCAGGGGTAGAGAACCTTTTTGGGGTCAGGGGCCACTGATCCACAGAAAAATCAGTCGAGGCTGCAGACAAGTGAGAAGCAAAAAAGAAGAAACCCAAACCCTCACTGACGTGGTCCCTGAGTGAGGGGAAAAACATTCCTCACCATTCCCTTCGTACACCAGAGCCTATGGGGGCCCAGCCTAGTAGATTTTGCGTGCTCTTGCCCTGCATCGGGGTGCTGCAGCACCAACACAGGCTCCCCAATTCTGAGGAGCCCTCAACCTTGGCCAGATCCAGGCAAGCTGGGGGCCACATCTGGCCCCTGGGCCTGAGGTTCCCCACCCCTGCATTACATATTTAGGTGCAAGCAGGCTGTCTGTGTGGCACCCTCTTGTGAACAGATCAGTTCCCACCTCTCAGAGCTATTGTATCAGGCTGTGCTCTTCTCCAGAGAATGTTCTGATTAATCTGAAAACATCACATTAACAGGAATGAACTCTTTGCACCTCTGCATTCTCTCCTGTGCTGCAGAAGGTTGTCCGGAGCCTCTTATCCCTACATTAGCCCCCAAAATAGAATCAGGAGCTCCCCTTCACTCTGCCTTACTGCTTCCAGCTGGGAGAGGTGCACCTCACAGCCCATCATTTACAACTTTCCTTTCTCCCCATGCCCTCCCAGTCCTAGAGAACATGGAGGAACCAGGAGGAGGACAGAACTAGTATCTGAATAATAGTGAGGTTTTCTGAAGAAGCCTCCTTGTGCCCCTAACTCATATCTTCCTTACTAACCATTTCCTAAAAAGTCAAGAGGAATTCACTGCCCAGGAATTGCATAGAGTTACGGTTAACTTGTATCCTTCCAGAACATTAAATACATTTACTCTAAAACTTCTGCAAACCACGAAACACACAGTTTGGGCACACACCAGCTCCACCCTGAAATTATAACTCTGCACTCTTTGACTGACATCTCTCTGATGGGTCCCCTCCAGGATACCACCTGGAAGTAAGGTACCGCTAAGCCTTCTGTTACACCAATCTGGATTGTGACAAGTGTAGAGTTCTCCAGCAAAAGCTTATAGTTTAATGCTATAGACTACATGCATCCCCTCTCCCCGCCAATAAATTTTTAAGCGGGCTGTCCAGTAGCCCAGCTCAGTCCTAACTCACACTGGATCCGGGACCTACCCCATTTAAAATGTAGTATGAGCCAGGTGGACATGTAGCCTGGCTCAGTTCTGGCTCATGCTGGGTCCAGAAACTCAGCTCCCACTCCTCCCTGCACAGGGGCTGCTGCCGCACGAGATGACAGGCAGCTGGTCTGTGAGGGGAGCTGGTTTTTAAACCGTTTCCCCTTGCGGACCAGCTCCCACCTGTATCAGAGGCAGCAGTGTGGAGTGGCAGTGGGATCCTCAGGAGTGGGGACGGAGAGAACTGGCTGCTGGCCCAACTCTGGGGACTTATCAAATAGTCGACTAACCAATAAGAATTCATGAGGTTAATCTGCTATTCAGTTAACCTCTATTTAACATCCCTACTAACATTCACAGGCAGGGATCACACCCAGTTATGCTCATCGTTGATCTGCCATCCACTGCATTAACCAACACTAGAAAGGCTCTCACCAAAATATCCTCAGCTTCCCAGCCTAGGACCCTGGCTCTGTACCTGGTCAAAACTTGACCAGCATGAATTTATTACCCAGTCCATCCCTCCTTTGATATGAAGAGGATGATGCACAAGCCCTTAACTTTGCTGAGATTTTTCCCCAAACCTTTTACTCAGAAATACACTAGTTAAGATAAAATGTGGCATAGGTTTATTAACTACAAAAAGATATATTTTAAGTGATTTATAAGCGATAGCAAACAGATCAAAGTAGATTACCACAAGAAATAAAACAAAATTGCAATCTATGCCTAATGTAATAACTTGGTCTCCATATATTGTGGTGTGGACTTGCAATTTGCTGCAAATAATCCCTGCACCAGTCTCTAAAGAGGATGGCTATACTGCATCTGGGAGGTGTAATTTCCAGGTTAGATAGGCATACACGCAATAGCTCTGCTCAAGTTCACAAGCTAGAAATAGCAGTGTGGCCTGAATGGCAAGCCATGAGGAAGTACTTAGTTCAGGGGTGGACAATAATTTTTGATGGGGGGCCATTCCAAGATTTTGGTAAGTGGTCAAGGGCCACACTTTTCTATGGGGGGGGATGCGGCATCTGGGATGGAGGTTGAATGCAGAAGGGAGTTCAGGGTACAAGAGAGGGTGTGGGGCTTGAGGGGGAGTTTGAGTGAAGAAGGGGGTTCACAGTGCTCAAAGCTTCCACCCTATCCCCAGTGCAGAGAGGTACATGGAGCAACCAGCCACTCTGAACCCTGGGGCTGCTCCTTGCCTTTGGGTCCAGCGGGGTGGTTTGTGGGCTGGACTGAAAGATTTGCTAAGCCAGATCCCGGCCCCAGGCCTATCCCGCATCTGGGAGGTGGGAGGTGTCCACCCCGACTTAGGACCTTGGATAGAATTGTACTCAGGTAGCTAGCCAAAGCCACCGCTTGCCACCTCAGCCATGCTGCTGGTTTTAGTTGCCATCTCTGACCTTGCATCCAACTCAGCTGGGATTGTTCTGGGGGTGGAAGCAGCTCCTAAACCCTTCCCCCATCCCCTCCGAGTTCACAGATTTTAAAGTGAAATCACCCAGCAGCCGCGTTTCTGAGCGGCGTGCGAGGGAGGAGGGGCGAGGCAAGTGGGGAGACTGCCTGGGGCTCCCTGCAGCATCTGCAGTCTGTATCTGGTGGCTTGGAGGGACGGATTCAGCCTGCAGTCTGTATTTTGCAGAGTCCCATTCCCTCTATATCTGGAACCTCCTAACATGCCCCTGTGAATCCAGATCTCCCCACCCCCCCACCAAGCTGCCCACACCTAAATTCCCCCCCCACACACACACACAGAACCCTCTTACCCCACACATGTATCCTCCAACACTTGGATCCTTTTGCTATTTTGAGGCACATGGCATGGAGAGGCAGGATATTTCTGGAGCAGGCCCAGTCCTTGCACTGTTTCAGGGTCACATGCAGCTTCACCCCCATGTCCATGCTCCAGTGGGGGAAGGGGAGTGTGGGGCTGTAGAATGATCTCCATGTAGCTGGTGGCCAGTGTTCCTCATTGCCATGCTGGAACTTCCGCTTTTATTCTTGACAAAACATGCAGAATTTTAAAGAATTTTTTTTGGCACAGAACTCCGTCAGGAATAATAAGTACAAGTCAATAAATTAGGGTACGTCTACGCTTGCTCCCTAGTTCGAACTAGGGATGCAAATGTAGCCGACTGAAATTGCTAATGAAGCGGGGATTTAAATATCCCGCGCTTCATTAGCATAATCTCACCCGCGTGCTATTCCGCTCGCCAACTGATTCAAACCAGAGCGTCACCCCCCCTCCCTCCCCAAATAATCATATAGTTGATACAAATTGTATTGACTTCACAATTAGCCAAATAACTGCTCTTTAACATCCTTAGGTTATAGGGGCAGGGTTGGTATCTATCTTAAATCTGTAATTCTGGTTTTCAGAGGATTGAGAATACATGTATTTGACTTTCTGAAAGGGTACAAAGCAATGTCAGTCTGCTTAGTTAACTGTGCGTTAACTAAGTATTTATTCTTTGCCCAGAAAAGGGATCCTATATCATGATTTTAAATCCTTTTTTACAGTGTGGCTTCACCAGACAAGAATTGGCCTCAGTTTATATGACGTGGCAGGACAAGGTTACCTCAGAGAATCGGTAAGTACTGCACACACAGTAAATATAATGTACTTCTATCTGGTGTAACTTAAATCAACAGAGAGAATAAAGTGTCTTGCACTTTAATGTTTCTCTATTAGGGTATGTCTACACTACAAAGTTAATTCGAACTAACAGACGTTAGTTCGAATTAACTTTGATAGGCGCTACACATACAAACCGCTAGTTCGAACTTAATTTGAACTAGCAGAGCGCTTAATTCGAACTAGGTAAACCTCATTCTACGAGGACTAACGCCTAGTTCGAATTAAGTAGTTCGAATTAAGGGCTGTGTAGCCACTTAATTCGAACTAGTGGGAGGCTAGCCCTCCCCAGCTTTCCCTGGTGGCCACTCTGGGCACCACCAGGGAAACTCTTCTGCCCCCCTCCCGGCCCCGGA